TGATGTATCTATAATGAATGCCTCTTGATATAGGAGAACAAGGAGACATATGGATGGAAAAATATTCCATCCATGGGGTACACCCATGGTTAATGGACACAGCCTGGACGAAGATCCAGCAAAGGAGACTTAGAAGGAGGGGTCAGACAGGAAGAGAACCAGGACAGCCTAGAGAGGCATGAGTATCAAAAAACTAGCCGCAGAGAAGTCAAGAGGGATGAGGACTGAGAAAAGGCCATTCGATTTGGCCATTAAGAGATTGTTTGTAACTTTGGAAAGAACAGTTTGAGCTGAATCAGGAGGTGGGATGTCAGACTGCTGACTTTAGAAGAGACTGAAAGGAAAGGAAGTGGATTGTGGCTGGTTGTCTCATTTAGCCACAAAAGGGAGATGAGATATGGGACGAGAGCTAACGGGGATAGACAGATCAAATGAGGGTTTTTTGAGCTCGGGGGAAACACATAGGCAATAGAGAAGGAGCCAGTGAATAAGGAAAGGCTGAAGATTAGTGATAGAGTGGGGATGACAGAGGCGGCAGTCTGCTGGAGAAGATGGGATAGAATGAGATTGCTTGTGTAAGTAGAGGGCTTTGCCTTTGGCAAGGAGAAGGGCTATCTTTTCATGTGAGAAAAGGGTGAAGGAAGAGATAGCAGCAGAAGGCATCTGAGGGAGGTGAGATCAGGAGGAGGGGAGAGGAGGGAGCTCTCAGCAAATGACCTCGATTTTTTGGGTAAAGTATGAGACAAGGTCCTCAGCTGGGAGAAAGGGCCTTGGGAGGACTCAGAAGGGTTGAAAGGGTTTGAAGAACTTCAATGTCCAGTGGGTGATGGATCAATTAGGCAGGTGGAAAAGGATTGCTTTACTGCAGTGATGACCCAGCTGAAGTTGAGTGTTGCATAAATTTGTAGTGGACCCAGTTGGCATGGTCTCAGGATTCCCTCCAGCTCCGTTATGGTAGGTAGCAGGGGTGCTGTTATTAACCTTATTTTACAGTTGAGCGAATTGAAGTTCAGAGAAGCTAAGCTATTTTCCCGAGGTCACACAGCTAGCCATTCTAACCTCTGCATTTACAGGGAACAGTCAGCTTTCTCTGTCCCATGGGGGACCATCGAGTGTACCGGAATCTCAAAGTTGGAAGGGAGCTAAACTTGGACAGAATCCAGTCTGATCCCTAGATGACTAAGATTCCCTTCAGGGAAAGCTAGGTGGCAAAACCAATAGAGCACCAGCCCTGCAGTCAGAGGGACTCAAGTTCAAACCTGGCCTCAGATACTTACTAGCTGAGTGACCCTGGGCAAATCATTTAACCCTGATTGCCTCCCACTCCCCCCCAAAAAAGAATCTCTTCAACAATGCCCCCCAACATAAAATAAAATAAAAACAATGTTCTCAACCTCTACTGGAATAGGTCCATTCTTGGAGACATCTTAGTGCATTTTTGAGCCCCTCTCATTGTTTTTTTTTCCTTCCCGTAATGAACCAAAAGCTACCTCTTTGCAATTCCCACTCTAATTCTACCCTCTGGAGCCAAACAGAACAGGTCTCACCTTTCTTCCACATGACAACCCTTAAAAACTTAAAAGCAGTGGTTATGCCACCCTCTCCCCTCCAAAGTTTTCTCTCATTCACACTACATAAGGTCACAAGGTAATAATAAAATAACAATAATAATAACAACAAGAAGAGCTATTATATTTATAGCATCTCAAGGCTTGCAAAGCATTTCCCATATGAGTATCATCTCATTTAATACACCTTGATGACCCAGTGAGCTCACTGACATCATCCACACTCTACAGATTAGGAAAACTGAGGCTGAAGTCACAAAGCTAGTAAGTGTCAGAGATGGAGTCAATCCCAACTCATCCTGACCTCAAGTTCAGATTTTTTTGTTTTCACTAAATCAAACAGCTCTTAAAGCTGACAAAGTAGGGTGGAGGTGGGAGAATGGAGAGCCTTGAATGCCATGCCAAGGATTTTATCCTTTTCAACGGCCATGTGGAGCCCTTGAAGGTCTATCACTGATTATTTCTGAAATGATACATATTTCCTTTGGAAATAAAGATTTTTGCTCGAACCCAGAATAGCTCAGTTATGGCGACCATAATAATCTGCCCAAGCATTATTAAACATCTATCAAGGGGCAGGTAGGTGGCACAGTGGATAGAACTCCAGCCTTGGAGTCAGAAGGGCCTGAATACAAATTTGGCCTCAGACACTTGACACTTCCTACTGTGTGACCCTAGGCAAGTCACTTAACCCCAATTGCCTTACCAAAAAGCAAAAAAAATAAAAACCAAAAAACATCTATCAAGTGCATGCCCTTCCAGGTGCTGGGGAGGGAAGACAAAAGCCAAACGACATTTTGTTTCAAGAACTCGAGTTCCATTTGGGGTGTGCAATGAGGAAGAGGAAGAGTAAATGCAAGATAATTTGAGGAGGGAGAGACCACCCCCACCCAAGGGGAACAGGAAAAGTTTTGGGCAGGAGGTCCCACCCAAGCTGCCTCTCAAAGGAAGCTAAATGTTTTCAGGGACAGAGGTAAGGAGGAAGTATAATGCAGGCATTACAGATAGACAGCTTGAACAAAGGATCAAGAGGAGAAGTGGCCCACTAAATACGTCCTTTGGCTGGGACCTAGTGTGCATAGCAGAGAGGATTATGAGATAAGAGTGAAGGCTGGTGCCAGACTGTGGAGGGGTTGTAATGCCAGGCTGAGGTGTTTGTGGCAATAGGGAGCCACAGACAATTCCTGAGTAGCCCAATGACTGTAGATCTATACTGGAAGGGTCTTCAGAAGCCACCTCGCGGGATGCTCTTGTTTTTACAGATAAGGAAAGTGAGACCCAAGGAGGTTAAATAACAGCCAATATCATCACAGGCTCTGGTCAGACCTGTGTTTTGGGAAGATGATTTTGGCAGCGCTGTGGGGGATGGGTGGGAAGAGGGAGAGGCTAGATAGAAGAAGATGAGTTAGGAATAGTCCACTTCAGAGGTGATGAGAGATCCTAAACTGGTGGGGGGAGGGAGGTGAGCAGAGAGAAAAGTATGGATGGGAGAGATGTCATTGGTGTAGATGGCTGGATGAGTGGGGCAAGGGAGACGATGATTGTGACCTTGGGTGATGGCAAGGATAGTGGAGCCCTCAATAAAAGTAGGGCAGTATGGAAAAAAGAAGTGTATGTGTGTGTGTGTGTGTGTGTGTGTATGTGTATGCATGTGCATGTGTGTGTATGTGTGTGTGCGCGTGCATGAGCAGTGTCTGTCTGTCTGTCTGTCTGTCGGGGTTGGCGAATATGGAAGAGGAGAAAATGAGTCCTGCCTTTAAGATGTGTGACAGGCAGGTGGCTAGTGATGCTGGACTGGATTAAAAAAAAAAATAGGGACAGAGAGCAAAGAATCACAAAGCCTAGAGAAGAGACTGATGGAGTTTTCACAAAGAGCATCCCTTCTCCCAATTTTGTTGTTTTGGGGGAAAAGAGTATCTTCGGAAGGATTCGATGCCCAATTAGCTCTCAAGGTGTGTTCACAACACTAATGATAATTCTAGCTGGAATTTCTATTGCTCTTTATATGTGTAGGAACTCATGAGAGGTCTCATGGCCCTGTAAGGTAGGTAGTATGTGGATTATCATACCCATTTTATAGATGAGAAAACCAAGGCCCAGAGAGAAGTATCTTTGTACCCATTCACACAGCTAATATGTGGAAGAGCCAGTTCTCCTGACTCCTAGTCTAAGGCTCTGATCTAATTGGCTTCCCCGGTATCCAGTCTCTCTCTTTTCCAAATCGTCTTTCAAATCGCTACCAAAATAATCTTTTGCAGTCTAGGTCTGGCTATGACACCTAATGTCTGTGTGACCTTGGATCAGTTATTTAAGTTCCCTGGATCTGTTTCCTTTTCTGTAAAATGAAGAGGTTGGACTAGATCAGGGTGGGGAACCTGCGGCCACATGTGGCCCTCTAGGCTGCAGGTTCCCTATCCCTGGACCAGATGTCCTCTGAGGTCCCTTCCAGCTCTGGACCAATGGTCCTATGTAAGTTTGCTGGTCAAGAATTTTCTCTGGGGCAACTAGGTGGTGCAGTGGATAGAGCACCAGCCTTGGAATCAGGAAGACCTGAGTTCAAATCTGGCCTCAGTCACTTGATACTTACTAGCTGTGTGACTCTGGGTAAGTCACTTAACCCCAATTGCCTCACCAAAAAGAAAAAGAATTTTCCCCCTGTTGCCTTTCTCTAAAGGTATTTTGAAAAGTATTGAACATGGAGTCAAGAAAGACCAGTGTTTGAATCCCTTTTTGGACACTTACTTACTGTAGGACCATTAGCAGCTCATAGACTCATAGATTTTGAGCTGGAGGGGACCTCAGAAACACTTTAGTTCAATCCCCTTGTTTTACAGATGAGGAAACTGAAGCACAGAGAGAGCTGTAGTGACTTATCCAAGGTCATGCAGCTGTTAATGTCTGAGGCAGGGTTAGAATAGCCAGCATTTGAATTTGAATTTAATCTGAACCCACATCTTCCTATGCCAGTGCCCTATCCTCTATACTACTTTGCTCACTTCACTGCTTCTAGCCTCAGTTTCCTCATCTGAAAAATGGGAAGCATAATACAAAGTACCTACCTCCCAGGATTGTGGTGATGTTCAAATGAAGTAATGTATATAAAGTGTGTTGGAAATGTGAAAGAGCCCATATAAACATCAGCTATTAATTAAGGAAAAGAGGTCGGGTTCTGGGACCTCAGGTATCTGTGGTGGCAGCATGGAGATCCCAATCCCTAGACGGTGGGGCTTGGGGTGTCGGTGACAAAGAATCATCTATGAGCCATCTGGGAGCTCAGCAGGGAATTCTTTTGTAGAGGTAGCAGGTACAATTCTTTATAACTCTCCTGATCTCTCTCTCTCTCTAGCAGGGAGCCCCAAATCTCCAATTTAATGACTCTGGATCCCTTCCCTGCCACTAAATGACTCTTAACTCTTATCTCTTCCAATACAGGGGGGACTTGCAAAAATGGAGAGTGCTGTTTCGAGGAGCTGCCCTTCTGGGAAAGAGGTTCAGGTATGAGCGGGGATGGAATGGAGTCCACAATCTTATAAGAAAACTTCACATTTCTACTGTACCTTCATGTTTACAAAGCACTTTAAATGTATCATCTCCTATGCTCCTCATAATATTCCTGTGACAGATGCAACTCAGGTATTAGGGTGACACCTGGTAGCCTACATGTGATGCTAGGTAAGAATGTGCTTGCTGCTAAATGTTTAACAATCAGTTCTCTAGGGTAGAGGGTGGAGGTGGTCTATACAGGACATACCAATCTGCATTATTAAAATTTCTCCATTGTTTTCTTAAGTTTAGACAATCAACAAAATAATAAATCAAGCCCTGATTTGTAACATCTAATGGTTTCCAAGGGGTAGATACTCACTTCTCAAATTTAACAATCGACTCTTGAGAGCCAATTCAAGCTAACTCTAGCACATCCCTGTGCTTGGGGCACTATGCAGCAGTCCAAATCAATTCATGTTCTGCTTTCCCTAAGCATACCAGATGACAGCTGGACACTGTATTAATTATCCATTGATGAAGTATAATACCCGAGTTGCTTGCCAGGTGGCACATGTTTGAACCACCCATTGAGTCACCTCAGTTCTCTGTAGACTCCTGAAAGCCTGCATTATCCTCTCTGGTCAACAGAGGGTGCTCAGTATGCAAATTCTTAGGTTATTCCCAAATTCTGTGTCAAGAAGCTAGCCCCTCACGTTATCTGGAGAGAGAAGATGCAACCAGGGGAATCTGGAAAGGCTTTGAGAAGGAGGCAGCAGTGAACCGAGCTTTGAAGGAAGGAATCTAAGAATTCCAAGGGGCAGCTAAGTGCTATGGTGGGTAAAAGTGCTGGGTCAGGAGCAGGAAGATCTGAGTTCACATATAGCCTCAGACACTTCCTAGCTGTGTGACCCTGGGTAAGTCGTGTAATCTTAGCCTACCTCAATTTCTTCAACTGTAAAATGGGAATAATAACAGTACCTATCTCCCCAACTATTGTTAGTATATTACCAAACAAAATAATATTTATAAATGTGTTTAGCATAGTACTTAGCAAATAGTCAACACTTCCTTAAATGCTTATTTGCTTCCTTCCAAGGTGAGGAGAAAGTGCATTATAGGGAGGCTGGAAATGGCGTGGTTAGATTGGGGAATGGCAAATTGGTCAGTTGGCAGATCTGACTGACCTATTTCTTTGTTTTAAGGTCTTACCTACCCAATAGTCTATGGACATAGGTTTCTTATGGTCTTTTTCAGGCTTAGCAGAAGGTCCAAGGGATCTGCTTTGTTACAGGATCTTCCCAAAAGGTTTCAAGTGTTCTTGGCAATATGATGGTGACCCCACCCATGTCACCCACTTCCTTCGATGCTGGTAAGTAGAATGCTCAGGAGGTTCATCCCAATAGCAAAGAGAACAAAATGGTTACCTGGACCCCCCAGTAGATGGGCACAATCTTTGGACTGCTTCATTTTTTATTTGGGTCAATTAGTCTCTCTGCTCTTCTCTCTACCCCTTCATTCTTGAGAACTCACCATATTGGTTCAGAACTTAGTGTGGGCAGTCAATCAGCTCAGCCCTACTGAAGCTCAGAACTCCTAAGCTCAAGCAATCCTCTACATTTGGCATTACGGGTGTGTACCACCATGCCCAACTAGAACAATGTTCTCGAATACATAGGATTACAAAGGAAACCAATTTTATTGAAATAGTTCAAGATATTTATTTTTGACTTTGAATGAAAGTTCCACAAGATGGCAGGGGCCACGGCCAGAGCACAAAGAGTGCTCTTGTGCCTTGCCTAGCTTCACTTGAGACTCTTCAGGAATTATGTAGAAAGGAAAAGCTCACATGTAAATTGATTGGAATCACCAAAAGGAATCTAAATAATTATGAGGTGGAACACTTGTGTGAAAACAAGATAGAAAAGGATATGGAATATTACCTTGTAAAACAGAAAGGATGGCCAGAAACTACAAATACTTGGGAACCTTCAAGAAATCTCAAATGCCCATTGCTTCTTGAACAGTTTTATAATGACCAGCATGATTATTTGTCTCAGTTAAAGCAAGGCAAAGCAGTAATGCTGAAAAATTATATCAAAAGTTTGAAGCCTGCTGCTGCTGAGGGTGTTGTAAAGAAGGTTAAACAAAAGGCAGTTCTGCAGAGATGGCAAGAAGAACTTAACAGAAAAAAGGAATGGTCTTTGTTGATCTGGAAGGTCCACCTTTAGACTTTTACTACATTAATGAATACAAACCTGCTCCTGTGATCAATTTAAGAAATGAAGCCATAGTTGGTTGTATGTGCATAGATTGCTTCTTTGAGAAGTACTGCCCTGCAGAAGCTGGAGTTCATTTGGCTTATAATTGGGGGGAAAAAAAGGCAGATAAAAATCCAACCTGGCACGCCCTATCTATGAGTGCAACTCACAGTGTAAATGTGGGCCTGATTTCCCCTATAGGATTGTTCAGAAAGGTCCACCGTCTTCCCTTTGCATCTTTAGAACTAGCAATGGCTGTGTCTGGGGTGTGAAAACCCTTGAGAAAATTAAAAGAATGAGTTTTGTCATGGAGTGTGTTGGAGAGGTTATCACAATGGAGAAGCTGAGAGATGGAGGCAACTCTATGATAATAAAGGAATCACATATCTCTTTGATCTGGACTATGAATCTGGTGAATTCACAGTGGATGCAGCTCCATACAGAAATGTTTCTCATTCTGTGAATCATAGCTGTGACCCAAATCTTCAGCTGTTCAACATCTTCACTGATGACCTTGATACATACCTTCCTCAAAGAGCACTGTTTTCTGCAAGAATGATACATCCTGAAGCTTACTTTTGATTATCAAATGAAAGGTTCTGGAGATATATCTTCAGAGTCTATTGACCTCAGGAAGCCAAAAAGAAGGTCAACACTGTGGGCAAGTGTGGATATATGTCTTGTAGAGGTTACCTCAACTAAAATTTCAGGCTACAGGTCTAAAGATAAATCTCATGGTTATTTTTGTTTGTTTTTTACTTAAATCCCATCTTAGAAAATGAATTTTTTTCATATTTAAGTATTTGGGATATTTTATATATGCTAAATCAAGGTTGTTATGCCTCATGTTTTCTTAATTTACAATTCATTTCAAAACCACATTTGCCATGGGGGCAGTTAGGTGGCACAGTGCATAAGGCACCGGCCCTGAAGTCAAGAGGACCTGAGTTCAAATCCGGCCTCAGACCAAACACTTGACACTTACTAGCCATGTGACCCTAGCCAAGTCACTTAATCCCAATTGCCTAAAAAAGCAAAAACAAAAACACATTAGCCAAAGACCTTACTGATGCTCATTAATGTGAAAGGGTAAACAGAGTCGCAAGAGTAGATCTTACACAGACTAGTCAAAAATATCAGTGTTTAGTAGTTGGATGTCATACCCATTAGGAAAACAAAACTACTTGTAGATTAGGGTTTTTATCCATCCAACAAACATTTATTAAGCACTAACTGTGCTAAGCACTGGGAGAGACAGAAACTTTAGAGAAGATACTATCCCTGCCCCCACGGAGCTTACATACTTAAGTTTAGTTATGAAAATGGTGCTTTTGAATTGAACATTCAATTTGCTGAGAAATCTTAAACATAGTTAGCGTATTTAATTTGGACAATGTAAAAAAAGTTCTATTTTTGTTAATGTCATTCATATGACATCCTTATTCACCTGCTTAATGGTCATACATATTGTGTATGTACTTATTAAAAATAAGTGATATCAAATTGTATGCTCTTTTCTAATTTTTATTAAAACAAATTGACAAGTTACTGATCCTAATGTTTGCTGAAGTGTAAAATTGAATGCAAAACAATAGAATTTAAATATCTTGATTTCATACTTCAGAGAAGTTTGTAGCATATAAAATATTTTTTTCTGCTTTTACTAGTAGTTCTTAACTTTTTTTCCATATAGAACAATAACCCTTTAAAAAAGTACTGAATGGCTGGCCATCATAACTATGTGGGAAGAAAAGGGGGGCTTTGGGGACCAAAGGGAAAGTTTCTGTCGACTAATATGGCAGCATCAAAACCCTTTGCAGCACTCCTCAGAAGAACAGACATACCTCCTGAAATCACCCCCCTCAACTCCACTGAAAATTGCAAGAACTTGTTTGAGAACTACCAATCTGCATACTATAACCAGATGTCCCCCAAAGTATTTTGTGTATTCCTAGATTTGCTAATGTTTCATAATAAGCCAATGTTTCTAATACATTAGTATTACACCTTCATTCAGACAAGTTTTAATGTACATGCTTTATTAAACCTATAGTATTTTTATGTTTTCTGTAGGCTATTCTTTAAAAAGTGATATGTATTTTAGGGGCAGCTAGATGGTGCAGTGGATAGAGCACTGGCCCTGGCGTCAGGAGGACCTGAGTTCAAATCAGACCTCAGACACACGATACTCACTAGCTGTGTGACCCTGGGTGAGTCACTTAATTGTGACCCCAATTGTATTGCAAAAAAAAAAAAAAGAATTATTTCAGACTGACATTCTGTACACGAGTCTGTTGAAAATATGATGATGAAAGCTAAATTTGGCTTGACCAAGAATAGTTTTATTATAATATTTCTGAATTATGGGGCTAGAATTAAAACTGTAAAGAAAAAATAGAACAGTTTTATCACATAGGAACACCTAAAAGTTGAATAATTTTTCAGCTGCATATTTCTGGTTCTGAGATTGACTCATTCTGAATTTCTAATCATGGTGTTCAACATGGAGACAAATGGTGCAAAACAAATTTAGCCCACTTCATTCCTAGCCAGCTCTGCCCAAGCCTCTTTTCCTTAACCTCAGTGACCCAAAAATGAACACACAAAAAACAGCAACTAAGATCCTTTTGCTCTGTGTGACACAAATTCTGTTTAGGGAAAATCTGCTACTAATTTGTGAAATCTTTTTTTGTTGAGGAGTGTGCAGTCAGCCATACAGCAAAACAATTGTTGCATTAAAAATTTTTCATTATAGTTTAGGTTATTTACATTTATGGATTTGGAACCAGAATAAATGCATTTACAAAATGACTAACTGGAAAGGAAAAAGATATTTATTTTTTATAAGTTGCTGGACCCCAGATTAAGAACCCATAAAGGAAACTGTAAGAGAATGATTTTAAGTGTGCCAGTCCTCCAGTCGGCATCCCCTCAGCCCCTTTGTCACAAAACCCATTGCAAAAAAATATTAAAAAAGGTCCTGGTAGGGGAGTCTCTTCCCCTCCCTAGGCCTCAGTTTCCCTATCACTAAAATCTTTAGGTTGGATTAGATCAGAGTTCTTCACCTTTTTTGTGCCTGGTAAAACCTATGGACCCCTTCTTAGACTAATATTTATTGCTTGCATTTAATTAAAGGAGATGCCAAATTTTATTAGCGGTTAGTGAAAATAAAGATGTGAGGTTTTTTCCTATACAAGTTAGTCCCCTGAAATTTCTCCATGGACTCCTTGTGAGTTCAAAGACCCCAGGCTGAAGAAAACTGAATTAGATTTTTACTAAGGGCCTTCCTGGCTCTGACATTCAGTGTCCTAAGGGCCCTCCTAGCTCTTACATCCTGTGTTCTAAGGACCCTCTCAACTCTGACCTTCTGAGCTCTAATGGCCCACCCACCTCTGACATTTTATGTTCTAAGGCCCTCTCAGCTCTGACTTTTCTGTTCTATGATTTTCTGGGCTGTTGAAAACATACATAGATAAATACTGATTATTTTATAGTCCAAGACACTTATAATCTGTGTGACCCCAGGCAAGTGACTTTAACCTGTTTGCTCTAATTTTCTCATCTGTAAAATGAGTTGGAAAAGGAAATGGCAAAAACCACTCTTGTATTTTTGCCAAGAAAACCCCAAATGAGGTCACGGAGAGTTGGATACAACTGAAAACGACTGAACAACAACAACAATTTCTATTCATGAAGTCCTATCTTAGAACATAGAGCTGAGACCTCATAACATAGAACCTAGAATTTCAGAGTTAGAAGGGACCAAAGAGCATAAAACATAAAATATCGAAGGTGGAAAAGTCCTTAGGACATAGAACACAGAATATCAGAGCTCAGACCCAAGAACATAGGATGTCAGAGCTGAACGGGAATAATATCAGAGCTGGAGGAGCCCTTAGAAAGTAGATCATAGTTCATAGTATCATCCTGGCACTTACAGACCTCCTAGTGGTGTGAAAAGTTTTTTAAGAGGGTATACGGAAAGGGTAACTAGGTGGTGCAGCAGATAGAACACCGACCCTGAAGTCAGGAGGACCTGAGTTCAAATCTGGCCTCAGACACTTGACACTTACTAACTGTATGACCCTGGGCAAGTCACTTAACCCCATTGCCTAGCCAAGGGAAAAAAAAAAAGAGGGTATATAGTAATGATTTTTATTTGATTTTTTTGGAATTAATATCCAGTCAATGAAGTTACAAAATTTTTCATTTGCACTTGGAGACTTTTATCCCATTCATACTTTTCTTTATGGAAAATTAATCTTATTTTATTTTTATGCGCCCCATCATGGTCATCTCTGGAATTTATTTCCTTTCATATCGAATGAGGTATAAAGTAAGAGTACTGAATCCTGAAAGTCAAAGGGTATGGGTACAGAAAAGGGTTAGGAATCTATGATCTAGATCTTGAAGGGAACTCGGAGGTCATCTAGCCTAACTACTCTGTGAGGAAACTAAGTCCCAGAAATGACTTGCCCAAGGTCACACAGTGACCAAGTGGTAGTTATGATTCCAACTCAGATTTTATAACTCCAACTTCAGCACTCTCTACACTTTATCAAGCAGGTAGATCCTGTCTCAGGAATATTGGTTGCCATGGTATTTATTTAGAAAGGATTTGCAGGGAGAATCCTGCAGTGTTTAATGAATGTTTAACAACCTACTCTCCAAAACAAAACAAAACAAAACAGAACAAAAAAAGGGACACACTTTTAAGTTTAACATTTCCTCCGTCACTTTCTTAAATCTAGACACTCAACATAACAATAAATCAAGCCATAATTTGTAGTGTCTGATAATTTTGGAGGTCTGAATGCTTGCTCTGAAAATTTAACAATCAGCTCTAGGCTCTGGCTCCAGCCCCTCTCTGTTTGGATACCCCCAGTGAGTGCTTAAAGTAAGCTCTATGTTGTTGGTGGATTGATTGCATCCATATTCTGATCCTTATGTCAAATCTGTCATACGGACTGTATACTCAGGTGGTCTTAAATGGCCTTCTCAGGCAGTCTCTTCCCTCTCCCTGGACCCATTGAGCATGGGTGACCCTTTGGGAGTTCCAGAGCTCCTCAGGTCTCAAAGTACCATATTGAGATTACAGCTGTGTGATCAAAAACTTCTCTCTCCTCTTGAGCCTTAGAAATGGGAATTGTTGCTATCTTGAAGCAGGAACTGCCAACCAAGTCTGGTTTACTGACCAAGCTAAGGTGCCCATCCTACAGAATGTCACATTTTGGGTGGAGTCCCGAGTTGGAAACAGGACAGCTGTGTCCCCAGAAATCACCCTGGCACTCTACGGGGCCTGTAAGTATCTGTGGGCTTTCCATTTGCTTTGCAAGTTGTGGTTTGTGTCTGCCTTGATGGTCCCCATCCTGGAGCCCCCCATCCCTAGAGATTTTCAAGTGAAGACTGGATAGCCATTTTTTTTCCCAGGTGCTAGCAAGCATAGATTAAACTAGATGACCTCTGAGGTCCATATGAGTCTTAGAGTTGTAGGATTTTAAGTAGCATTTAGAGGGGAAGGAATCTCAGAGCTTGTGGAGACTAACCTCCTCTTCTTGCAGGAAAAGAAACCACAAGCAAAGACTTACCCAAGGTCTTACAGCCAGTAAATAGCAGAGCTTGGCTTTGAACCAGGGCTCTCTGATTAAATCCAACCACTTTCCTGTTACACTGCATAGATTTTGTACCATACGACAGTTCCTCTTCCCCGAGGAAAGGGTGAGGCTGAGAAACATTAAAGGACCTGAAGTTAAGACAGAGTTGTAGCTCAAGTCAAGGGCCCTTTCAGGAGGCAGAAACCATAGAAACATGGAGGACGGGCTCTAGAGACAAGGGGACCTTGAAGTGAGCCGACAGCTGCCCCTGATGGGAAGCATCTCATGTGATGTCTCATGAAACAGTAGCCAATGATGTGGTTTCCAGGGTCTAGTCACCTAAGAGCTTGGATTAGGGTGAGAGGCAGTAATAATGAGTAGACCAAGCTGGGTAGATACTACACGTGGAACATGGCTGGAACAGCAAGTGAGGGGCAGAAGTAAGGGCAAATTCACCATCGTGCTTTTGGGAAATGTGCCGTTTCCCTGTGTCCTTTCTCCTCATTCCTTTAATTGTATGAGCACTGTGTATTTAAGTCCATATGATTGTGATTTCAGTCAAGTTTGACCCTCCCAATGGAGAGATGACTATCTCCAAGCTCCATGGCCAACTCATGATAAAATGGGAGATCCCTGAAAAACAAGAGGATGCAATAGCTGAATATCGTTACAGGACGTGGAATGGAACATGGGAACAGGTGAGCCAGGCCCACCTCAGGAGCCAGATCTTCAGTGATAATTAGCTGTCAATCCCAAAGGAGGAGCAGGCCCCAGGGGAGCCATCTTGTACTCCCTGGTGGAATGGAGAGGAAAGGTACCTGACATGGGAGTCAGGAGACTACTCAGCCCCAGCCTAACTCGGGAATCTTGGGCAAATATCTTCTCTGCTCTAGACCTCAGTTTCCATATTGGCAAAATGAAGGGGTTGTACCTTCTGAAGTCCCTCCCAGCTCAGACATCCCAGCTTTGACATTCTTGTTCTAAGGACCCTCTAGCTCTTATATTCTATGTTCTAAGGTCCCTCCTAGCCCTGACATCCTGTGTTGTAAGGTCCCTCCCAGTTCTGACATTCTGTGTTCTAACGGCCCTCTAGCACTTACATTCTATGTTCTAAGGTCCCTAAGGCATTCTTTTGTAAGTCATTGATGGGTTATGCTCTGCGTGAAGGGGACTTCCACATTGGGAGTTGCTCATGATGACAAAAATCACCTCTTGATAGGTCAGTTCTAAGGAATGCCACTTGCCAGGTCAAAAACTATTTCTACAGTCACTCTGAATACCTCTTTCCCTGCTCTCTGTGTGACTATGTGTCTAGCACCAAAATGCTAATGATAAACATTATCTCATTCCAGGGAGATTGTGGAGCCCAGATGAACTCTGATTTTGGTGAGAACATGGGACCTGAAGCTTCCATGGCCCTAGTGGGGAAATATAGCCCTCTTCCCTAGCAATTGCTCATTTGTCCAATAGGTGGCAATACAGGAGAACAGTGTATTGATTAAGTAAAAAGGCCATTCTCTGTCTCATTTCTTATTAAGCCTTAATCACTGAACGGGGCTCTGCCTCAGTCAAACTGAGACCTGTTAAAGACCTTGGCTTGAAAAGGCTAAGGTCTCTTGGGGAGGGAGGAGAGGGAGGTGGAGAAAATTTAAAACTGAAAAGCTTATGGAAATGAATGTGGAAAACTAAAAATAAATTAATTAATTTTAAACAAAGAAAAAAAGAAAAGAAAAGGTCAAGGTCCCCATTGCATCCTGGGCCATCCCCAGTCATCCTGATCTCTTATCTTGCCACTGGACCCAGATGGCTCTAGAGGAGAAAGTGAGGCTGGTGACTTTGCACAGCCCTTCCTCCTTAAATCCAATTCACCTTCACGTCATGGCATCACCTCCCTGATGTCATGGTCCTCTTCGAGAATGAAGGACAAACAACAACATGTTGGAAATAGCCCTTCACTGGGAGGTAGTTCTGGGTTCTAGTTCCAATTCTCCCACTAATTTACTGTGTGACTCAGGGCAAGTTGCTTAACACCTCTGGGTCTAAATTTTACTCAGAGAGGGGAGAGAGGGGAGGCTGGATTAGATCTATGAAGTCCCTGCCACCTGCAATATTCTTTATTTTAAGGTCCTGTCAAGATCTGGATTGTAAGGGCCCTCCCAATTCTGACATTCTTTTTTTTTTTAATTTTGGTGAGGCAATCAGGGTTAAGTGACTTGCCCAGGGTCACACAGCTAGTAAGTAGATTCTATTTTATAGAATCAAAAATTCAGAATAGGAAGGAACCTTAGATGTCATCCTATCTATCCCACTCATTGTACAGATGAGAATACTGAGGCCCAGAAAGATAAAGTGACTTCCCAGTTCACACAGGTAGCTAGCAGCCAAGCCAGTGTTTGAACCTAAGTCTTCTGCCTCCATGCCCAATGCTATGTTCATTAGGTCAGTTAAATTTTGTAGGAGTGATTGGCCTGAGGGAGAAATGAAGAGGTGAGTGAGCCATTGAGAAGATGGGCTTGGCTGGAGCAGGGCCAGCCTGGGGAGGCCACTGTAGAGGGACTGGCTAGGTACCTAGGGAACCTTCTCACTAGTCAGCCAACTAACCACTATGGCCCCTGGACATTCTTTAGAAACCTGCAGTCTCCACTTAGAAGCCCCTGTTGCCTATGAAATTCAGCTCCGCCGCCACAAAAGAGCCTCCCCGACTGGTCAGTGGAGTGACTGGAGCAAGTCCATTTGCATTCCTGCTGGTAAGAAGTTGGCACCGCTTCCTGCCATAGGTCCATCCTATAGGTCCTCTCTGGGACATTCACAGTCTTCCCATCCCTCTCAGTTGGCATTCTGTGTCCTAACCCCCATTCCACTGCTGACATTCCATGTTCTAAGGGTCCTCCTGGGCTTTAATACTCTATGTTCTAAGCTCCCTTCCAATGCTAACATTCTCCAAGGGATCTTCTATTGCTAACAGTCTTTGACTTGACACTGATAAATGATTTGATGTGCAAAATGTAATCCTCTCTTTACAGAAATTCCAGAGGTGAATTACACAGTGGGAAAACTCGATAATGACGGAAAGAGGGACCTCATCCTTGACTGGGAGGTACTTTTGTCAATGGTGGAGACCTCACTGACAGTCAATGGGAAAAGCACTAGTCTGGGAGACAATAGCCCTGGGTTCTGGTCCTCCGAATTCACCAATCACTTATAGCCTTGGACAAGTCCCTTCTCTTCCGATGTAGTTTAGCCACAAATTAAAGGGAGATGATACTCTCAGCTTGGTCTCCTTCCCAGGATGCTGTGAGGATGAGTAGAATATGGACAGAAAAGCCCTCTGAGATCTTCCACTTGCCCTGTAAGAATGTGAGGCATCATCATGATTAAATCCTGCAGTCCAGGATTTAACTGCATTTAACTGTAACAGCTTTGGATTCCCACAAAAGGAAGGGAGGGGATGAGTTTCTTCTGGGCTTCTTAGCTGTGCTTTGCCTTTTCTAATGGTTTGTATAAAGCTTCTAAATGAACTCACTCTGAAGATAGACTGTGTGAGAGATGGCTCAGTGTCCCCACCTCTGAACTTGTCCCTTTCACTCCCAAGCAGCCCAGGCCAGTGAAGCTGCCCCCCAACTGTGTGGAAAAAGTGAATTTCAGCCTTGTTCTTAGGATGCTTTCCTGCCCCTGCAAACAAAAGTTCGAGAAGAAAGTGAAGCTGGAGAAAGTGATCCGAGTTTCTGGGGCAGAGTATGAAGTCATTATCCAAACCCAGGGAACCATTGGGCCACAGCTAAACAGGACGTTCCGAATCCCTGCTGATGTCAACTCAGGTAAGTGAGGGGAGGGGTGGGGTTGCCTGTGGGAGACTACACTGGGGACACAAGCAGAAAAACTGAACACTGGTAAGAAGAGTGTTAGAGCCGGGAGGACCTGCATGACAGAGTTTCAGGGCTGAGAAATGCCTTAGACATTGGAGAGGAAGATGGGAAAGGAGAAGGGAATAAGCACTTATTAAGCCTACTCTGAGCCAGGCACTCTGCTAAGTGTTTACAAATATTACCTCATTTGATCCTCACAACAACCTACGAGGTAGGGGCTATTACTATTCCCAGTTTAGAGTAGAGGAAACTGAGGCGAGTAGGGGATAACTGAGTTGTCCAGGGTCACATAGCTAGGAACTGTCCGAGGCTGGATTTGAACTCAGATCTTCCTGACTTCAGGCCCAGCGCTCTGTCTACTATACCACCTAGATGGGAGGTGAGCTTAACATCTTAGTTGAGAAGAACCTTAGAGACTTAGAACATAGAATGTAAGAGTTAGAGGACAGAAAGTCAGAGCTTCAAAGAACGTTAGAAATTGGAATGTCAGAAATGGACCTAGCACATAGACCACAAAATGTAAGAGCTGAAAAGGACCATGGAATACAGAACTTAGAATGCTGGAGTTGGAAGGAACTTTACAATATAGAATACAGAATGGAAGTAATCTTTAAACATAAGGTGTCAGAGCCAGGAGGGTCCTTAGAACAGGGAATGTCAGAACTGGGAGAGCCCCTTAGAACACAGTACGTCAGAACTGGGAGGGTCCTTAGAACACAGAATGACACAGCTGAAATGTAAGATATGGAGCATTGTATATTAGAATTGGAAGTCTCAAACACAACACAGGGAAGAATAAAATCTTAGAACATAGAACATCAAATATAGAAGGAACCTTAGAACACAGATCAATCAACAAACCTTTATTAAGGGCTTACTATGTACTAGGCACTGTACTAAGCTCTGGGAATACAAAGAAAGGCCAAAATGCAAAAATAGTTCCTGCTCTCAAGGAGGTCACACACTGCTGAGGGAGACAAATTGTAAATAAAATAGGTACATACAATCCACATCTAGAGCAGAAGGAAGATATCTTTAGAGGGGAAGGTCCAAGTGTGGGAGGACTGACAATGTCTCCTGCAATTGAGCCAGAGATGTGAAGAGTTGTGGGTGAGGTGGGAAGGCCCTCTAGGCATGGGGCAAGGTCAATGCAAAGACTGAGAGGTGGGAGATGAGGTCATGTGTTCAGAATGCCTTAAAGGCCTAGTCCATTCCTACCTTGTTTATGGGAGTTGAAGTCTGCCTTTGGGCACTAACCCTCTAACAAGGTCATTCTCCTGAAGGTCTGTGTAACTAACAAACCATGTGAGTTGTCTACCTGAAAGTTGGTTAAAGAGATAAGCTAGGTGATAAATAAATCCATTTTGTTTATTCCCTTAAGTTAGCGACATGTACATGGAGCCAGAGCTTTAACTCTGACTGAATCAAGCAATTTTAGGAGGACATTTAAACCCTAACTCAGGATGTCTATGTTACTCAGATTTATGGTCTCTATATATGTTTAACCATAGCATGAGAAAGAAATTTTCTTAATTGAATAGGTTGTAAATACAATAAGATAGGAGAATGTCAAAGTGTAAATTATAGATCCAGGATACCTGTGTCTCTTTTACCATTAACATGACACAACATAGCATATGTCCATAAAATACCAAGATAAGAAAAATCCCATTATTCAAGGTGGTGTCTGGGTTAAAAGGGCCTTAGTGGTCATAAACAAAAGAATGCTTTTGATTAACTTTAACTGTTGACACAGGAAGGGGCATTCTTAGCTCACGCAGAAAGAAAAGATTAATTCACATTTTAGGCCCTTATTGGGGCTCAATTGATCTTAAAAGATCAGAGTCAGTATGAGGAAGGTCATTGTTTCCCTCCATCTTCTCTTCCATGTCTCTCTTGGTGACTGGCGTCTAGCATTTGAGCTGCAGCTATGGCTTAATGGAAGGAGTACAAATCCCAGAATTGCTGCTTCAGAGTTCTGTGACCTTAGTCAAATCACTTAATTTCTTTGAGACTCAGTTTTCCCATCTATCAAATGGGGATAATATCCAATAATCCCTGACTGCCCAACATATTCCCTGCCCTTCCCCCATCCCATCCCAAGGCTACTGTGAGGAAATGAAGAGAATAGATGAGGAGAGGATATAAACTGTAAAGCACCTTGCAGACTTATGTAACACACCTTGTAAATGACAATGGGTGCTGTAATGGTTGAAGGAATATGATTATCTTTTAATGTTTCTTCAGGTTTTATCCAGGATGCAAAGTTTCTGAACATCAGCACCTCAGAAGACAACGTGACAATGCAGTGGTTGTCTTTACAAAGAAAGGTCAAGAGGTACTGCATTGAATGGTACCCCTATCTTACCAACTGGACAAATATCACGTGTTCCCTGAAGAGCGTCGGGAAAGAAAAAAATAATAGAAAAGGTATAGCCAAAAGGACAGTGCTAACTGCGTCCTGTCTTTATAGACATTGAGAGAATGTCAAGAGCTGGGAGGGACCTTAGAACATAGGATGTCAGAGCTGGGATTCAGTCGATAGGTCAACTAGCATTTATTAGCTTTCTCCTGTGTTCAGGCACTGTGCTAAGTGCTAAGGATACAAAGAAAGGCAAAAGACAATCCCTGATCTCAAGGAGCTCCCAGTCTTAACTGGAGACATAACATGAAAGCAACTATGAAAAAACAAGATATAGACAGGGGAGTGGTCTCAGAGGTAAAGCACTAAGATTCAGGAGAACTATAAAAGGCTTCTTACAGAAGGTGGGTCTTTAACTGAGAATTGATGGAAGCCAGGAAAGCTAGGAGTGAGAGATGAGGAAGGAGATTGTTCCAGGCATGGGGGACAGTCAGTGCAAATGCCTGAAGTCAGGAGATGGCAAACAGAACAGTGTTCAAGCAATAGCAAGGAAGATAGGGTCACTGGATTGCTGAAGGGTGTAGTAAAGTATAAGAAAATTGGAAAGGAAGAAAGGGGCCAGGCTGTGAAGGGTTTTATTTATATTGGACCCTGGAGGTAAAAGTAAGCCTTTGAGGTTTATTAAGGCAGCTAGGGGCTGTAGGCAGTGGAATCAGGAAGACGGAAGTTCAAATCTAGCCTAAAATACTTACCAGCTCTGTGATCCTGGGCAGGTTACTTAACCTCTGTCTGCTTCAGTTTCCTTAACCTGAAAAAAATGGGACTATAATAGCACCTACCTCTCAGGGTGGTTATACAGATTAACTGAGATACTATTTGTAAAAAGCATTTAGCATAAGGGGCAACTAGGTGGCACAGCAGATAGAGCACCGGCCCTGGAGACAGGAGGACCTGAGTTCAAATCTGGCCTCAGATACATAACACTCAGTAGCTGTGTGACTCTGGGCAAGTCACTTAACCCCAAATACCTCACAAAAACAAAACAAACAAAACACTTAGTGTAGTCTCTGTCACATATAAATGCTTATTCCCTTCTCCTATTGAATGGTTGGAGTGCCATGGTCAGATCTGCACTCTAGGAAGATTAATTTGATAGCTGACTGGAGTGGGGAGCAGAGAGACCACCCAGCAGGCCATTGCAATGGTGCAGGTGCAAGGCGATGAGGTCCCCGTCACTGTGTTAGAGTGACTGCAGTGACGCCGGGGAGAAGGAGCGCACACAAGAGAGATATTATGAAAGAAGAAAGGCTAGGACCCTCAAAATACAGAATATCAGGTCTGGAAGAGTTCAGTCTGACAATCAGATTAAGAGAGCTGGGAAGGAAGGGCCTTAAAGACATTCAAGTCCACCCCCACCCTTCCCTTTATAGAAGAGAATGCTGAGGCCCAGAGGAGGCATTATTGAAAGAAATCTCATACAAAATGCAAGCCTGCTCAATTTCTCTTCTCAAACAGTGATAAATGTAGCTCCTGAGGGTATCAAGGCCAATCACCTGTGATCACACCATTCATAACACCTAGATAATCACTCTGCACCTAGCTTCCCCAGCTCTCCAAAGTGTTCTGTAAACATCGATTCTCACCCTAGGGAGAGGCCCATCCTACACCTGGCATGATGCTACTTGAGACCTTAAAGAGTGGGTGTGAAACGCTAATTGACACTGGGAACAATAATCCTCTCTCCTATGTGAATAGCCCCAGGCAGTTTTACCAAGCATTTCCCCGTCTCTTCTGCTCCCTAGAGCCCAGGGGAAAAGGCAAGAGAGGAGCTGTAGGTCTCATTTTACATCTAGGATTACTGAGGTTCTCCCAGTGGCAGAGGTGGGCTCTCTCCTCAGTGGGACCAAGGTGCCTCTCTTAAAATGAAGGATGCACCAGATTTCTGGGCCAATGATAATGCCCGGTGCTGGGCCAGAATTTAGATTAATGACAGGTTTATTTCTTTTTCTGGAAGAAATTTGCCAAATAGTCACACAATTAACCAGACAGAATATTGGAGTCTTATTTGACTTTCTAGTAACTCTAAAGGCAGTGCAATCCTATTGTCATCAGAAGGAGGCTGATCTGCGAAAGTTTTTGCTGGCTGGACTGCCCATGGCTCCGAATACCTAGGACAGTGCACCTGGTGCCTTGAAGGTGCTCAATAGCTGCTCGTTAATTAATTGACCTTTCTGAATACTACCTGCCTTTCTGTTTCCTTCCTACTCAAGCCCTATCTCTTCTCGTAAGCCTTTCCCAACCACACTAATCAGTCAATTAAATAATATTAATTAAGTACTATGGCTTAGATTCTGGGCTAGGCATTGGGGACTTAGGGGGAAAACCCCAAAACAGTCTGTTCCCTTATGGAGCTTAAATTCTGTTGGAGGAAACAGCACTCACACAATATGAAACACATACAAAGTACATTCAGGGTCATTTCAGTGCATGGGAGGCATGCCTAGCAGCTGAGAGGACACAGAAAGGAGTCAGATGGGAAGTGGCTGCTGAGCTGAGTTGCCTCTTTTCTTTCTTTCTTTCTTTGTGTTTTTGTTTTTAGGCAATTGGTGCTAAGTGACTTGCCCAGGGTCACACAGTCAGTAAGTGTCAAGTGTTTGGTCTGAGGCTGGATTTGAACTCAGGTCCTCTTGACTTCAGGGCCAGTGCTCTGTCCATTGCACCACCTGGCTGTCCCCTGATGTCTCTTTTCTCTGAATCCCCTGGACCTTCGTGCCTAGCCCTCTTCTACAACCTATATTTCATCTTGCCCCATATTTTAGCAATCTGTGACCATGCCTTGTTTCCCCTGAGAGACTCATCGAGGGCAAAGATCATATATTATTTTTCTTTATTAAGCCAATGCAGAGGTCAGTCCAAATCCCTGTTCACAGGTGGTGTTTTCTGAATGACTAACAAATTTCTCCCTGCTCTGATGTTCTTTTCCCCAACAGTGACATATAGCTGGGATAAAGCTTTTGGAATCATGGACCCTGGAAAGTGTTACCGGATCAATATTTATGCTTCAGACAAACCCCAAAACCCTCATTCCTGGGTCACTGTCTTTTCTGTGCACCATTTCAGTGGGGATGGTAAGTCTATACCTATCTTCCAAAGGAGAAATCAGGCCTTGGGATCCAGGCAGCATAGAGGATTTGGGGATATCTGGTACTAGGTACCAAGACAGTAGAACTTCAGCTCGTAGAGTTGAGCTCAGGGGGATCCTTTGAGATCCATTAGCCAAGGTATGCTAAACTTCGTACTATCAATCTCTCTGGCAGTCTTGAGAAGGCTGTGGACCCTTTCTCAGAATCGTTTAAAAAAATGATTGAAGGAAGTCCTAACTTTTAGCTAGCAGTTAGTGAAAATAATGTAATTTTTTTCCCATCCAATTTCATGGACTCCCTGGAATCTATCCATGGATCCTTTGGGAGTCTATGGACTCAGAAAGAAATCATTCAAATATCAAGGAGTCATAGTCATAATTATCCAGGATTTAGCAGCTTTTACATTAAAGGACCAGAGGGCTTGGGATATGACATTCCAGGATGCAAAGGAGCTTGGATTATAACCAAAAAGCAACTACCCAGCAAAACTGAACATAATCTTTCAGGGGAGTCTGTAGACTCTAGATTAAGAAGCCCTGACCTAGTCCCACCTCCTAACTTTAGGGGAAGCTGAGGCTAAGAAAGGGAAAGGACTTACCTTTGCATCTATGGATTTGCCGATCAGGTTGTATTCTCCTCTACCTCATCCTTTCTGACCCAGCCCAAAGGCAACCTCCCCCAGGGAGCCTTCCCTATTTCTCCCTTCTCAAAAGGTTTCTTCCCTACTCTACATCTCCACAACCCTACATCTGTCCCTCTCCTGTGTTCTTCATCCCATCCTATCCCTAATTATAGTTCAGTGTGTCCCTGTAGGACTTATGCTATACTATCTGATTGCAAGTTGGCTGAAGGCTAGGACAGACCCTTATCCATCCCTATCACCCTCAGAGCAGCCTGTACCCAGTAGCTACTTCTTGAATGTGGGCTGATTGATTGAACGAATGAATGAATGAAATGCAAACCTGCCCTCTGTCAGACTTTCTCTTTGGGTGACCAGAATCTTAGTTTTTTTGTTTGTTTGTTTGTTTGTTTTTTTGTAAGGCAATTGGGGTTAAGTGATTTGCCCAAGGTCACACAGCTAGTATGTGTCAAGTGTTTGGTCTGAGGTCAGATTTGAACTCGGGTCCTCCTGACCTCAGGGCCGGTGCTCTATCCACTGTGCCACCTAGCTGCCCCAGAGTCTTAGTTTCTGATATGTAAAACAAGGGGGGGGGGGTTGGGTGGAGGGGATAGGGGGGTGGGATTAGATGTCCTCTAAAGTCCCTCCCGGCTCCAACTCTATGATTCTTCCATTTAGTTGGCCCTCCTGTGGTCATTCCCATTCTCCCATCCCAGGACTTCTTTTGGGGTTTTTTTGTATTTCATTAATAAGATGGATAGTTTTCTCCTCCTGAAAACTGGGTTTCAGAAGCTGTCCCCTCACCTCTGCTAATATTCTCAGTTTTGAAAGCTGGGCCCAGTTACTTCACAGTGAGAAGAACGATAGCCCACGAGGTAACCCTGGAATGGAATCCTTCCCCACTCAGCAAGTGCCCCGGAGTACTGGAGAAATATGTCATCTACTGCTGGAATGAAGCCAACAACAAAACCATCCGTAGGTTGGAAATTACATTTAACACCTGCCTGGCAGTATATTCTATGGTCTGTGTCTCAAGGGCCTGTCCTATCAAGTCCTTTCTATCTCCTATGTCTTCTTTTCTGAGAGCCCTTCCAGATCTCACATTCTCTTTCCTCTTGTCCCTCTAAACTCTGACATTCCATGTTCTAAAGGCCCTCCCAGCTCTGACATCCTGTGTCCTAAGGGCCCTCCCAGCTC